ATTACTTCATACATTTTATTGTTTGGCTGCATGTACAGTCAACAGATGACAACATCGAAAGCTACACAGTCCTCACCATTCTCTTTCCTTCATCACTACCACTCTCTACGTGTCCCTTTTGTACCACATTTATCAGTTTGGAATATTACAACTCGAACTGATTCACATATCAGATTTCATTTTACATTTATAACATATATATTTGTGTATGTACCAAATATCGATTTAAAAAAGACAACGTGTTTCCATAGATTATCCATATATATTACAGGTTATTGGTTATGTGTGTGTGTGTGTAAATCTATGCCAATATCTTACACAACAGAGTAATTCATCCTGCTTTGATGTGTAACCTGAGATCTTGCCGCTACAGTGCGGTGATCGTAGCCTCATGGGGTGAAGACTTGACATTTTAAGACACCAATGTTAAGTTAGACTTTCCTCCTCCGGTTCACTTTCCTTCCCGATCACATTCTACACCATTCTCTTAGAAGTCTTTCGCATACCTTCACTTCTCCAAAACTGTCTCAGTCGACACATCCTTCTCATGCTAACTCAGAATATGCAAAACTTAATAAAGATAAATCATTTGCGCTGTGCAACATAACAAGGTAATATAGAGATCATTGACAACACTGACAACAAAAGATATTCAAATTTTAACATTTTCCCGCCAAAAGTCCGCCAGCCGAGCCGACCGGCCGCTTCAAGAAATCCCTAGTTGTGGCGCCGCAGCCGAGAGCTCGCGCCGGCCGCCGTGGCCCGCCGGCCGGACGAGCCTCGGCCGCGGACAAGCTACAATGTGTCAGGGGCTATACTGGATACCCTGTCTATACCACCATTCACAAAGCTTCCACGAGCCGATCACATTATGCATATGAACGGTGAGTCGAGTCTTCGATCATAGATTTCCATCATTAAAAAAAAAGGAAGCCAATCGCGCAAGTCCTTACATTGCAAACCAAAATGACGACCACGCCGCGCTTACAGTTAACTTAAATTAAGTACAGAAAATATAAAATCTCCGGTGTAGCCTACGACACAACGCTCCCAATCTCACAGACGGCGATGCTTCGTCATTTTGGTACTTGATGACATAAAATCCTATACACTATATACAACAAGGAATACAATATTCTCCATGGAACTCAAAAAACGAACTGCACAGAGGAACTAACGTACAAGCTCTGTATAGTAAAAACTATGCTACGGTGTTTATCTAGCGACCTCTCCGGGCTACGTGGCCTTGTCTCCTCATCACAACCTTGCCGTTATAACACATATATTTCTCAAATTACCAAATGTGAAACCACTTCACCTGAGATCTATTTCAGGCTACGCTCGCTCTCGCTCTCTCTCTCTCTCTCTCTCTCGCAAACAAATACTAACAAATCCATATATATATCTTTTTTTAAATGGATAAACATTAGCGTACGGGGCATGTTTTAATGTTTTAATAGCAACTCGTACTGGAATTTTGCAAGAAGAGATTATGATATCGCACGAGGGAAATTTAGATATATCTTTTGGTAGAAAAATATATATAATCAAACCGTTGCTTTAAACAGTGACATTTTTTTCAGTCCTGCATTGAATGGGACAAAATGTATTCTTTTCTTTCCATAAAATTTAAGCTTAGAATATAAACTCATTTTCATCGTATTAAATTATCCTAAAAGATCACATTTTAAAAAAAAAAATCCTCACTCACGTCTTTGCCAAGAATGCTTTTACAATTTTCATTTTCGTGTTGATTCACAAATTTGCAAATATTGATTGTTTTTTAGGCTGAGATTATTTTCGCATTTTGTAAGATGAAAATACGTATTTCATTATTCTTGCCCTTATTGTTTAGGAAGAAAAGGAAGAACAAAAAAAACGAGAAAGATGACGAGTGGTGTTAGACGCTCAAGACGACTAATAATTTTTGGGGAAAATGAACCAAATTTTGTGGTTATCTGAATTAATTTAATAAAGAATGAGCGTAACAATTGCTAATCTGATTTGTAACAAAATTTAATTTTAACTCGTACGAATAAACTGTATATATATTTTTTCAATTCGTCATGCTTGACTCTTTGTCTTAACGAAAAAGTTTTTACCATTTACTCGGCCAACAATCGAAAGCAAATCAGTTTTACGAATTAATTGAAGACGTGGTTATATGTGTGCGTATGTGTGTGTGTGATTTATATGTATTTGTATATGTATATGTATATATATGCATGTGTGTGTACTGTATGTGTATGTGTATATGATGTGCAAGTGTGTGTGTGTGTGTGTGTGTGTGTGTGTGTGTGTGTGTGTGTTGTGTGTGTGTGTGTGTGTTGTGTGTGTGTGTGTGTGTGTGTGTGTGTGTGTGTGTGTGTGTGTGTTAGAACAATTTGCCAAGCGTCATGCATCTACACCACCTTGAAAATAACACAAAAGAAATGATAGGAAGCTAAAAAAGCTCAGGAAGCAAGAAACGAGAAAGAGTAAGTGTTTAATCGAAGCACCGAAGACCCCGTTTCCATTCATCAACAACTGCATAACAATTCCGACCCCGCCCGCCCGCCCTCGCCGCCCTCGCCGCCCTCGGCCGACGACCCCGCACCCTGCCTCCGCCCCCCTTCGTCGCCCGGGCCTCCGTCGCGCACACGAGCCCGGGTCCGCGAGTCCGCCCTTCGCGACGCCGGCGGCCTGGCCTCCCGGCGCCCGAGGGGACGTCCCCCGGCCGGCTCCTGCCCCTGGCGCCGCCCTCCGACGACGGCGGGCCAACCGCAGCAACTCCCGATCTCTGAAGACGAATCTGCGTAGCGAATTCGGCACCGCACGCGCACCAGCATTATGAATATTAGTATCATAGATGAACCAGGATAAAGACTCTGGCGCCACGTACGAAACAAGAACCAGCGTAAAGAATCTTAATTTCAATACATGAACCAGACAGTAAAAGGGATCTACGTCCATACGTGATTGTGACATTATAAACCAGTCGGAACTACAATATAAAACTAACAATTCTGCCGACTGCTTCAAGGCTCTGTTTCTAGTAAGACCTACGACATAAAAAATGTATGTACATAGGAATAAACTATTATGTACAAACGCCAGCCAGCGGAGTTTACACATACAGGTAACCTAATTCTCAAGTATTTGGTGAGGACGAGCGTTCACTCCCTGAAGGCTTGGTGGAGTAATCTGGCCTGGGTAAGTAACTGGCCCTCTCTCTGGTCAAGGGAACGGTTCCCCGGCGGTGCGAGCGCTGTGCAACACACGTAGATGTCTTCTGGTCTCCAGGCACGAGGCACGCAGCAGGTCCGTGCACACACCGCCCTCACCCGCCCGCGAGCCGACGACCTTGGGGCTCGGGTCATCCTCCCCGAGCGCCCCCCCGACGAGGCGACCACTGGCTGTTCACCAACTACTTGAGAGTTGGAGTCGTAACGTCCACATGCGATGCTACACAAAGAATACCCTGCCAGCAGAATGCATGCAGTTTGCTGCCCCATCCGTCAGTCCCATTTATGACGATTCACTTTTATGCTTGAACGTATGAACCATGAACAATGAGGCTTGACCAATAAACAAAAGATTACCTCGTCTAGGAACCAGCCTAATGGTTACAGCTCGACTGTTGCATTTAAGCATAGAACGACGGGTAAAATAGAGTTCAACAAATTACACACCAAAATGTCTGTTCACTCCACGGCTGACTGCTCCTTCAGGTATTTCGTGTGAAAGTCTTTTTTTTCAAGGGATACAATCAGTTATTAATTGCCACTCGACCCCCGTTTCGCTTCGCCTCTGCAGCAAGAACATCGAAGCTTCTGCTTTATTTGCTCGGACATTCATCGTACGGCGCAGTTATGCGAGGCTAAAACTTCTTTTGGATAAATAATAACTGCGTGACTGACCTGGGCTGATGGTATTAAAAACGCGCGGATTTTTGTGGACAACAAAATGAGGGTAGACATTTTTTTCTGCATATGAAAATACAAAGGTTCATTGCTGCGTTACATAAGCTGGTCATTTGCTAAAACTGTAATTCTATTAAATTTATACAATGTATGAAAAGCACCATGACACTTTTCCACGACTGGCGATATTGGCGTGGGTGAGCAAGGAAGTTTCCTCCGCCACTCCGGTTCCCTCGTGCACTGCGTCGGCTCCGCTCCCGGCGCTCACGCCCGCCGCCCCGCCCGCGCGGTCTGCGGCGGCGGGCGAACGGCGGCGAGCGCCTCCGCCCTGGCTCTCCCAGCCCGGCGAGGACGAGCTCCACGCCGAATCCCGACTCACGCGTCCTTCCGGCCCGGCTGTCTCCCTGGTGGCGCCGAAGGAGTCGTCGGCCGCCCGCCAGCATCAGGCAGGTGGGAAACCCTGCATATCACACTGAACATCATGCTTGGAGACGGCCGGCGCGAGTCCTGTCTCTCCCAGCCTCGCCTCCAGCACTATCTCTATCACAACATCTTTACAACAGAAGTTATTATTCATCGAAACCTATCGTTATCCACTTATCTTCTTCACAACCACCGCTATGGTTAAAGAGTTTCATCACAATCACCTTCACTTTCTTCTTGATAAACTCTTGATAGTTTGATTGTCTTTAGCAGTTGACACATCACACGTCGTCTTGGGGAGCGCCTAAGACGGCCACATCGGCTCCTTTCCCTTCCTTTCCGCGCCCATGAGGACGTCGCGTCAGCGTTCGCGAACTGCCAGGATCTGCGCGGCGCCAGCCCCGCCCGAGGCCGGCGGGAGGTTCTCCGTTTCCGTCCCTCCTGCGCGTAGGGGCGGAAAGGCCTCCTCGCCAGCGAGGCGGTGCTGGTCTCTGACCTGTCGCCGACCTGTCCGTCCGGCGCGAAGGGGAAAATCGCTTTGGGTCATAGTGGGAGAAAACATATAGCCCTGCTCTGGCGAGCTCCGGGATATATCTTTTCTGCATAAAATATCACAAAATTTGCTCGACATGCTCGTTCCGGGTCCGCCGCCGTCCCGCCCGCAGGCGAGGAGGC